AGCCGGCTGGCCCCGGCGGGCGGGAGCTGCACACGGGGGCCAGATGGCTCATGCGGAGCAGCAGGTGAACCCCCCTCCCCGAGCCTCGCTGCAGCGCTGGGAACAGCGTGCAGGATGCCAAAGTAATTTCAAAATAAAGCACTGAACTGACCGTCCGCATGAAATATTCAGGCCCGCTGGCGTCGCTACGGGAAAGTAAGAGCACGTTACAAATGTGACTGATCTGACATTGCCTCTGAGGGAGGGAGGCGGAGGAGGAAGCGAATGAATTTCATACAAGAAGAGAGAGCGAAGCCTTGGCTGAAAATAGAGATCTTTCTTGTCCCGGTCTGCCCAGCAAGGATGCTTCAAGCCAGACCTGGAGGTGAGGAGGAAGCTGGGCAGACCAGGGTGGAAGAGAATAAGGGAATAGCTAACGTGGGGCTGAACTCCTAGGCTGGCGTGCTCAGCTGGCCCAAAGTCACCACTTTGGTGTCAGGGATAAAAAATAGCAGAGCACCCACAAGAACGATGATTTGCCCAACGCTACCCACCCCGGCAGCGTCGTAGCCACTGCTCTGACCGCTCGGTCGTACCACCTGCGAGACACCGTGTCTGCCTTTCCTTCTTCCTTTCGTGCAGCCCTTTGAGCTGCGAGGTGGGAGCTCCGAGTCATCGTGGAACAAAACAAATCAAAGGCTTCAAGAGACCAAGTGAATGAGGCAAAGCCAGGGAAGCCAGGGAACTGCCAAGAGCTCGGTAGAGGGTGGGGTAGAGGGACAATGGAGAGAGGTGGCACTTACAGCATGGAGTCCCCTGGGTGGGAGGTGGAGCAAGAGGGATGGAGATGGAGAGGTGAGCCAGGCAGCGGGGAGCCTTAGCAGGTCCTCCGTTCTCCTGTTTGGCTTGGTGGCTTTCCTCCTGCCATGGAGAAAGTGAGGTGGCTTGGGTGAGGGGTGGAGATGCCTCTGATGGGGATGAGGGAGGAGCAGGCCATGCGGGCGGCAGCTTCCCGAGAGCCACCAAGCAGCGGCCAGGCTGGGCCGCTGCCAGGGCAGATGTTACGGCCAGCTGATCTACTCCCTGCATGGACCAAAGAGGGAACGTGCTGGCCTTTGCCGAGGACCCCCATCCTCCGAGTCAGACGGCAGGATGCTGCCGGAGGAGCGGGAGAGCGGAGGGCTGTGAAGAGCAGCCCAGCCGGACTGTGCAGACCCGAAGGCCAGGGCAGAAGTAAGGCTCAAGCACGTGCCTGAAGCTACTCAGATCTCACCGAGCAGACCACCTCATTGCCAAGAAACCAACGAAGCAGCAGCTCCCTGGCCCAGCGGAGCCGTGGATCGGTCCCACCGTCGGCAGCGCTCTGACGGCCCTTAGGGCAGGCTCTGACCTCGGGAGACCGAGGGAAGCGTCACACGGAGCTGTCATCTCCGTGGACATCATGGCCACCTCTCGCACGGCGCCACGCACACAACCTGGGCCAAACGCCCCCCACCCGCCCCAGCCGGCGCCAGAATTACCATACCCGCC